TTTATTATAAAGATAATATTATATAATATATCTATAAGTTTAATATTTGTTATAAAGATAAAGTACAACTCGATTAATGAACGAAATTATGAAATCAAATTTATATAATTTATTATATAAAAATTTAACAAATTGCATATTATTAATTACTTTTATTAATAATTTAAACTAAAATAATTTATATCAATTTTTTGAAGATAAATGTATGACTAAATTTAAATAATTGGATATTTCCGCGCTTAAATTCAATACGCTTTATTATAAAGCTGCTTTCGAACAAATCAAAATATATACCGCATTTAATAAAATTTCATATAAAATATTTATCATTATTTATTTAAAAATTAATATTTAATATTTAAAATAATATATCTTTACAGATTGAAACTATAAACTAGAAATAATATAAATTATCTTAAATATCGTATATTTTAGTACTTTTAGATTATATTCATATAAATTGAATTACATATGTAATCGTATAGTACTTAAAGGTTTTAGGTTCTAAAAGAAATTTAAAGGTTAATTTGCATTACTGGTATGTGAAATGTCTATGATGTCTACATAGTTGGTACGACTGTGCATTGTATATCTTTAGAAACAAACATGGAGAAGTATCTAGGATTGGATAAAATTCACAATATTTGGAAAATAATACGAACAAACGGTGGTATTCTTAAGACTTTGTACAACGGATATAGGTCATTATAATAATAAATATTATTTAAATAATATTTATGTAAATATTTTTCATAACTATTATTTTAATTAAAAATTACTACAAATATAAAGATGATTTAATAAATAATCATACTATATTTTAATAATTTCATATATTTTAGAATCGATGCACTAAAACATGGTACCCTAGTAGGTGAAGACAAATTTGGAAATAAATATTATGAAAATAATTTTTATTTCTTTGGTAAGTTAAGAAATTGAACATTTTCCTCATGTTGCAAATGTGAAAAATATTTTTAAAAAATAGCACAAAGAATATTTTATAAATTACTCTAGTATATGAATATATTTGTTATTTTATTGTAACAATTAATCATACGCTTGACTCTAATTTATAAAATTAAGATAAATAGTATAAAATTTAATTTAATTTAATAGATTTACCTAATAAGCTTCTTGTAATCATTAGTTAGTTCTTATTCTCATTATTTTTATAATAGGTTCTAATAGATGGGTAATATATTCTGAAAGATATGGTATGGATTATGATGGTTCTCAAGTACCACCAGAATGGTTTGGATGGTTACATTATAAAACAGATTTAATTCCTTCTAAAGATCCAAGTCGACCAAAATATAAGTGGATGGCAGAACATCGACCAAATCCAAGTGGTACACCGGAAGCTTATATACCTTATACTACTACAAAACCAAAAATTATACCATGGAAACCACCACAGTAATACACATAGCATAATTTATTATATATAGTTGCTTAAAGTAATTATGATAGAGATAAAGATAACATAAAATTAGATGTAAATAAAATACTTACATGAAAATTTAGTATCTATAGTTGTTTAATGTGTTATTGAATATTACTAATCACACTGTCCAATAAATTTTAACTTTTCTTTTAATCTGTAATATTCATTAGTATAGTATATGATCCTTGTATAGTTTACTTTCCTAAGTACGAATCCTTAATCGAAATTGCTCTATTTACCAAAGTTTAAAAACGTCATGATTTTTTCTAAAAAAATACACCATTTTTAACTAAAATGAAGTATTACATAAAAAGCAAAAAGGTAAGTAGGTTCATTCGTACATTAAAAGTTAGGCGAGAATATTCCTAGTTTATCAGTTTACATAATTATAGTTATTTGTGTTTCTCAGTAAATATAATTAGTTATTGAAGTATGAGAATAAGTCGCTAATCGTAAGTTCTACATATATTCTTGTATTTTTGCAAAAAGTTCTCTATCTGACACGAATTTGCTCCAAAGTATCGTATTCTGTAGACTTTTCTCAAGAAGAAACCATGGAACAGAATTATCGAAACAGTTTTCAGTTACGGTTTGATCAAGAAAATATTCGTTGGTAACGTGTATACGAGGTTTTACCGCCACGCAGCCATTGCTTGCTTCTCTACCCTCGACAGTGCTGTAGCTACGCGTAAACCAAGTAAATATCAACGGAATTAACAATTCCGTGAAAAAAAAATGCGAATTATTATGACTATATATACACAACGTAAATATCTCTTTCTTGTATTTACAACGGTGTTATCTATTCACTGATTTGTTCTTCGTTTAAGATTTTTGTACTGTCCAAATTCTAAACAATCAATAATATATTAAATAATAATAAAGGTATTATTAGTGAAGATAATCTATTAAAATTAATAATAAATATTGAGCAAGTGATATATATAAATGAGTAAATATATAAGTGATAATAGTTATGCAAGGTAAAGTTAATTTGAATAAAGAGTGTAAATGTTGCATTAAGGCAAAAATATGTACAAATATCTATAAGAACTTGGAAACTGTAAAAGCA